AAAGATTTTATTTATTTATTTTTAGGGAGGGAAGGGAGAGGGGGAGAGAGAGAGAGAAAGAGAGAGGGAGAGAGAGAGAGAGAGAAACATCAATGTGTGGTTGCTGGGGGTTATGGCCTGCAACCCAGGAATGTACCCTAGCTGGGAATCGAACCTGGGACACTTTGGTTCCCAGCCCGCGCTCAATCCACTGAGCTATGCCAGCCAGGGCTTAAATATTTTGTAATTTTTTTAAACTTCATTTATTTTTAGAGAGAGAGGTGGGAGGGAGGGAGAGAGGGAGAGACACTGATGTGTGAGGGAAACAACCAGTTGCCTCTCACAGGCCCCTGACTGGGGACCTGGTCTGCAACCCAGGCATGTTCCCTGACTGGGAATCAAACTAGCAACTTCTTGGTCCACAGGCCGATGCTCAATCCATTGAGCCACACCAGCCAGGGCTGCAGCTGTATTTCTACCAGCAGATTTACCTGTCTACCCAGATGTTGCTCAAATACAGCGTTAAAGTCAGTCTGGATTCCTGGCATATTTATCAACTGGCTTTGGGGGAAAAACGCTATTTTGTATTGTATAATATGCTCAAGTAGAACTGTTTTAATGATCAAATGAAAGTATTAGTTATTATTATATATCACTACTAGTATTATTAATAATAACCAACAAAAAGACTTAGCCCAATCATCGTATTATAAAGCTTTGGAACTTGTGTTTCCATGTGCGAATAAAGACTGGTCCCATGTGATGGTAAAACCTCCCTTTGATTTGGGCCAGTGAAGGGGTTCTCACAAGGCCCTGGGCAAACGACCTAGGGAAGAACGAACACCGGAAGGAGCGAGGTGACCTTGGTGGGGCAGAAGCGCCCCTGACAGCTGCGTACCCGCTGCCTTTCCAAGACCATGGACTGCGGCAGGGAATCGTAGTTGCCCTCCTGGTAGGCGAACGTCTCCAGGTCATCTAGTTGGGTTTTGAGCTGCAGTATCAGCTCCTTCTGCTTCTCCCTTTGGGTCTCCAGACGTTCCCGTTTCTCCTGCTCACTCTAAGACGAGAAGAGACTTAGGTTTATTTCACAGGAAAAGGAAAACTCAGGGCTCATCAAGAAACCTCTAAAGCGAATAATGACTAGCAAAATGTAAAGGGTTTTCAAATAATCCAGGTGAAACATGGAATTTATAAAATAGACTCAAAAATAATAATTTCATACAAGAAAATTTATTAACATTGTGTTTTCTTTAAGAAAGTATGTGTCCCTCATTGGAAACAGCATATGAGTACAAGAGGGCCTTTTGTTGAAATTGCTCCCCCCCACCCCCAAAGGTCCAGTTAGGATCGAGACAATTTATCTTAGACAAGAAAGCCTCCCGGAACTAGCCCGGCTATCCTCCATAGCCAATCACCACAGAGCAACTCCTGAAAATTTTGTGCGGGGAATACGGAGCTAAATTTGTAGAGGAAGGCTTTATAGCTTATACCCAGTTTCTTAAAGATTCAGAGCCCCTCCAATGCATTACAGATGTCTGCATAATCAAAAGAATAAACACAGATACCTGGGGCAATGAAAAAAAATCCAAAGCCCAGTGACGGGGGTGGGAGGAAGGTAATTTTGGTGGTGGTTGTTTTAAATGTTTGATAAGTTACTCTGAGCAGTGACTCTTTTCCCCACTGTTGGCCACCAGGCAGTTTCTGCATTGAAATTATTAATATCCCTTCAGGGTAGTAAGATCTTGCCAATATATACTCAAACACGGGTTCTTCCACACCTTTCTTGAGTATCAAAACAAAGCAAACGCAGCAAATCATGCAGGTATAAGGCTGCATTTTAAATTAGAAATCGACAGGATATTAAATTCAACGTTCAGATGGTACTTACCAAGCCCTCCAGAAGTAAGGCATGAGAGAGAACAAATGGAAAACAACAAATTAACTTTTTGTCCAAGTTATTTAAAAAGCAATGCTCTTGCTTTACCTTTCTTCCACCTGGAAGCAAGCCTTTCCTCAGGACACTCCTCCAGGCCTTCCTGTGTGCTGTGGTGTTTTGTCTGAATCCCGTTCCTTTTCCTGTCTCAATGCAGCCCTGGCTGTTCTTTCTGAGGAGGTTCCCTGATCTCCCCAGGCAGATCTGCTCCTTTCCTCCTCCCTGGGTTCTGTACACACTTCTGCCTTAGCTCAGCTCACATTACAGTTATTTATTTAGGATTCTGTTTCCTCCAGTCTATGCACTCCTTCCAGGGAAAGGCTCTGACTTTGTACCTTCCGGGCCCAGCACAGGGTAAGTGCTCGATACAAATTTAGTTTACGCTACTGAATCAGGCACAGAAGGACACATTCGAAACACAACAGTCCCCCCTTATCAGCGCTTTCACCTTCCGTGGTTTCATTTACCTGCAGTCAACGATGCCTGAAAATATCACACAAGAAATTCCAGAAATAAACAACTCAAAGTTTTCAAACTGTGCACCATTCTGAGAAGCATTATGAAGTCTTGAGCCTGAATCACCCCTTCGCCCAGAGTGTTCGGGCATCCACGCCACACCCACGGCCCGCCCATCAGTTGGCAGCCGTCCTGGCCGTCAGATGGGCTGCTGCGGCACCGCTGCCAGCAACACACTCGTCTGTGCTCGGGCAACCCTCACTTCACTTACTAGTGGCCCAAAGCCCTTCACATAACTGTTATTACAGTATATTGTCATAACTGTTCTACTTTAGTATTAGTTACTGTTGTTAATCTCTCACCATGTCTAATTTATACACTATACTTTATCATAGGTATGTAGATATAGGATAAAACACAGTACATACATTCAGTACTACCCAAGCTATCAGGCATCCATGAGGGGTCTTCAAACGGTATCCCCCTCAGATAATCGGGGACGACCATGACAAACTCCGACTAGAGGAAGTTGTCTAACCAGCGCAAGGAGCAAGAATGGGTAAACTTCCCTTGTGTTTTCATCATACCCCAACTTTATGAAGCCAAGGAAGAAAGAAACCAGTATAAATCCTGATTCCGTTTTCATGAGAATATTTGCTGACTCTATCACTTGCCATAACAGTTCTAGTATGCTATTTACTGGAATGTGAGCAAACGAGTTTAAAAGGATAGAGCAGTGAGATCCAGGGCAAGGCAGGAAATAAAGAAATAATTGATTTCTATGAAGTGAGATAAAATACTGGTTTAAAAAATTAGAAACGGAAAAGAAGTAAATCATTCGGTTCACACGTTTCCCCCACTTTGGCACTACCTGTTCATGTGTCAATATATGCACACGAGATTACAGCTGCTTATTAGGTAGTTTGGAGCACTACACTCCCCCCTCCCTCAAAGCTGTACTGTTTCCAACAGTGAGATGAACAGCCAAAAGAGCAAATCCACAGAGAGCCTTTGGTGCTCTTCACACCCCAGCAGGGCCTGGCCCACAGGAATTTTTTTAATCCCTTCTATTCCTGCAGAGTCTGCCAGGTACGTGGGTGGAACAGTAAACACAGAATTGCATTGGAAACATTTCAGGTTAAAATAATTCAGTATCTGTTACTGATAAGTCTTCTTGGTAAAAAACAATTAAAGTGGGAAGAAAACCATATGTGGGTTGTAGCCTGAAGAATAAAAAGGTAAAGACAAGACAGTGAATGTCTGCAACACTGATCTACAACTGCACACGACCAGAGATTCGGAGACTGTAAGGCAATGCTCCCTCCGTGGGGCACACAGATCCTCCTCACATACCCGAGGCTGGCTAACTGAACGAATCTTGCCAGTTACCAAAGGAACCTCATTTAGGATACCTAGTTATGAAGCAGACTGGGGAAGGAGTTTTGAAATACCAGCATTGGAAAACTCAGGAGTTGTGTAATCAGGGGCTGTGTTTCTTCTTAATTACTTAGATCCTCTGCTATTCACCAAAGCTCTCAATCACACAAGTCTAAAGATGAGAGATTCTGTCGATTCCAGAAAAGCACGGTCAGAGCAGATCTAAATTTCTATGATTTCCATTCACTTGCTCTTCACTAGCCGATTTCCCCAATCCCCAGGGTCGGGGCATTCTATTAGCAAATGTGCCAGGACTTAAGTACCTGGTAAGGTGAGCAGGAGCAGCACTGTTTTGGTAGGGTGCTCTAGTGCCCTCTGAATACCCTCTTTGCCTACTGCTCCTCTGCCCTTCACGCCATCACACCTTCGGTGGACATCTCCCTCCCATGCTTCTCGGTCCTCCTGCCCTTCGGCGGGCTCCGCACACCTGTCTCAACCTTCACGTCCCGGACGCGTATACTCACTCACCTGGACAGGTAGGCTTCTCACCACTACTACCTCCATCAGCAGCAGCATCGTCGCCCCCCACCCAATCCCTCCTAGTCCCACATCCCTCGGGGCCCGGCCCCAGCTGCTCACCTGGTCCTCGCCCCGCAACTGCGGCCGGTTCCCCGGCAGTCCGTCACTCTCGTCGCTGGTGGGATCCTCGGGCCCCCAGTATCCCAGGACATGAGGGCAACCGCGAAAGGCAAAGTCCTCGAGCTCGCGCAGGAGGCGCTGCTGCTCCGCCGGCGCCCCACGCACCACCTGGCGCAAGCGGAACTGCACCTGCGCGAAGTGCGAGGACAGCGCGAGCAGCGCCGAGTCCAGCCGCCGCCGCTCAGCCCGCAGCCGCCGCAGTGTCCGGCCCGGCGAGTCCGGCGGGGAGCCCGGGGTCGCGCCGGGATCCTCGGCAGCCGCCTCTTCCGAGAACGCCGTCGTCCCAGGACCGGCCTCCGCCACCGCCCCCACCGGGGCCCAGCGCACCGCCTCGCACGGTGGCAGTGACTCCTCTTCTTCCTCCTCTTCGTCCTTCACCTTCGGTCCAGCCGCCGCCAGCACCGTTACCGGCTCCTCAGCCACTTCGACAGCCGCCATCTTCCCGGAAACGCCCCGCACGTCAGCCGCGCCCCCTTGCTGCCTTGGCAACGGCGCGTGGGCTGGGAACCCCGAGAGCGAGTGGGCGGGGCTCAGGTGTCACCGAGTTCAGACGTCACGGAGGGCGGGCCTTCCCCGAAGATTTAATTCAGGCCGATAATTTTGTATTGAACACCTACTGTGAATCAGGCACTGAATATACTAAGCGTTGGAGAAACAGGTGATTGAAGCCGGGGTCGAGTCATTCCGTGTGTATCTAGTGTAGTGTAGCCCTTGCCCTGGCTCCGGAGGGCGGGTCGTCTCATCCTAAATGTGTACATTTCTGGAGACTCGGACATGTGAAGGGCTGCAGGGATAATTCTGTCCTACAGTCTCTCCGGAGTGCAGCTCCCTTGGTTATATGGCCACGTTTTCTCGGCCTCTAAAACCTTCCCTGACCATATAAGGAGAGGCAGCTGCTGGGGGCGTCACCGAGGATCTAAAGATAGCGACCCCTGCCTCGGATGCCAAACGCCACTGGGCAGCGGGAGCCACCATGGCACGGTGAGTGTTTCTGGCAGCCGCTTCCCCTTTAGATTCATTCCTCGCCCCACGTTTTCCGGACGCAAGAGGTTCTTCGAGGTCCCATGGGAACCCCAGATCCCAGGTCTCTATAACTTTGGGGTGGTTAGAGGAGTGTGACCTCAGGGGTCTCCATGGCTCACGACCTCTCTACTCTCACACTTAAAAAATTGTATTTATTTATTTATTTATTGAATTTTAAAGAAAGAGAGAGGAAGGGAGAGAAATACTGATGTGCTGTCCCACTTACTTATGCATTCATTGGTTGATTCTCGTATCTGCCCTGACTGGGACTCCAACCCTCAACCGTGGCACATCAGGATGATCCTCCAGCCCTGGCTGGTGTGGCTCAGTGGATTGAGCACTGGCGACCCTGTGCAAATCACAGAGTCCCAATCAGGGCACATGCCTGGGTTGCCGGCCAGGTCCCCACATTGGGGTGTGCAACAGGCAACCACACATTGATGTTTCTCTCCCTCCGTTCCCCTCTGTCCTAAAAAAGGGGAAAAAAGGATGATGCTCTAACCAACTGAACTACATAGCCAGGGCCACCTCTACTCCCACGCTTTTGATTCTCCCCAGATTCACCCTCGCCACACACACCCATTCCCATCACCCCCCCCTTCCACCTCCTCTTGTTTCATTTGGCTCCATTTTGACAGGGCTGTAGCATAAAATATCCCCATATCTTCCCTCCTCCCATCTTTCCCAAATGCTCCCAGTCTTCCCTCTCCCACCCCTACGAAGCCCCACCTCCACTCCTCTTCAGGCAGCAGGCCCGGACCCTGTGGTATGACAGGCCCAAGTATGTGTTCATGGAGTTTTGTGTCGAGGACAGCACTGACGTCCATGTGCTCATAGAAGACCACCGCATTGTGTTCAGGTACTGGCCCTCCCCTCTGTAGAACCCAGTCTCCTGGGGCCATTTCCCATCTCCTAAGGCACCCCCCCCACACACTCCCTCCTGCCTCTCCTCAGCTGCATTGTCTCCTCAGCTGCAGGAATGCTGATGGAGTGGAGTTGTACAATGAGATTGAGTTCTATGCCAAGGTGAACTCCAAGGTAAGGATGGGGTGGACGGGAAGGTTTGGATGGGAAGCCTGGCAGGAACAATGGGAGATTTATTCTAAACCTCAGACCCTCAGAATGAGGCTCTCTATTTGGCAGGACTCTCAGGATAAGCGCTCTGGCCGCTCCATTACCTGCTTTGTGAGGAAATGGAAGGAGAAAGTGGCCTGGCCCCGGCTCACCAAGGAGGATATCAAGGTAGGGGGTGGCCTGCTCTTCCTCCTGTGCTCTCTGCCCATGTGCGGAGGTGCCCGAGCTAGGTCTGGGAATCTCCATAGCCTCCCTTTCCCACCAACATTTAGTCGCTCACTGGGGTCCTGCCTCTTTGACTTTCTGGATAATATCGGATCCATTCCTTTATCTCTTCCTAATTCAGGCCTCATCCATCACTGGGTGAAGTTTGTTGTGTATTTTCAGCCCACCCCCGATCTATTTAATGCATCGCTCCCATTACGGTCCGTCTAAAACACACATTTGGCTGTGTCAGACCCTTACTGAAGATTCTGCGGTGGCTTCTTTTCTCCTAAAGGCTGCAAATTGGCTGTCTACTAGTTGGGTGTAGCTCTCAAATTTATTTTAGTACTCTTCACGGTGTTAAACATTACTTTGGTTACTGATATTTAGAATCTTAGATTGGTTGCTGACGTATAAAAATAACAGAGATTTCACCTACAAATCCAGATTATTAGCTTCTCTTGAAAAATGGAGGTTTTGGCAGCACTGGTCTAAAACTCCCAAATGCCTGGAGTTGGCGCTTTAAATGGGGCATGAGGTCCACCTCACTTGACTGCTTTTCATTATCTTCCTGACTTGCAGGCATTTGAGCTCATAACTGCTGCCCTTTAGGCTGAAGTCCAAGCATCACAGCATGACATATATAGACCATGCCCTGCCTGTTCCTCCCGCTGTAGCCTCATGTCCCTTTACTCTCTGCCTCCAACTTCACCTTCCAGCCCCAGCAAGCTGCTTGCAGCTCTTTTGCACAGATCAGGCTTCGTACCTTTGCTCAAGCTGAGCCTTCTTCCTGGAAAGCCTCCGTCACCACTACATTCTCCCACCTAACCCCTGCTCATCCTTCAAGGCCACGCGACTCCAGGAAGCCTGGATTCCCCAAAATATCCTCCACACAACCTACCATCACCCTTCCCACACTGTATTATAATGATTTATTTACATTTCTCTTCTCCACTTGCTTCTCCATGGCTGGGACTATGCATTGAATATTTTTATGATCCCAATGCCAATCTCAGAGCCTGGCCCATTGTATGTGTTCAATAAGTGTCTGTTAAATGAATGAGCAAACAACTTCTCTGTCTAAGTGTGGGAACTTGGAACATGGGCCTCAAAGGGTTGTCCCTGTCTCACTTGGTTGACTCTGTGATACTTTGTGAAAGTTATATTTCCAGTTGTGTTACTTCCCCAGTCCATAATCTGCTTTTGGAGGGCAGAATTTCTGTGCCTTTCCATGCTATGCCTGGCATTGTGCTTAATAGGTTCTCGGTAAATCCATATGGATGGTGATGATGACGGGGCAGTCTGAAGGTGGGCTTAGTCAGAGGGGTGCTGTTGGGAAAACTACTCCCATTGACCTTCCTCCCCAAGCACGCTTCTGCGCACACGACCGCACTTCTCCGTGCGCGTCTGCTGCCCTCCTGGCCTGTGACTGTCCGTGCTTCTCCTTGCAGCCAGCGTGGTTGTCTGTGGACTTCGATAACTGGAGAGACTGGGAAGGAGATGAAGAGGTGGAGCTGGCTCAGGTGGAACATTACGCAGAGGTAATGCCGTTTTGCGTCCATCTTGATCAGTTTCTGTGTCCCTGTGCGCATTCTCTGGAGGGTTGTCATCAGGGCTAGGCAGAAATGCATGAGCTCCTCAGACCGGCTGCTCATTGGTGCTGATATTCTTTACGTTTTTTTTATGCAGTGTTTAGTAGGGATGGGAGAAATGAGTGTTCTGTTAGTGAAATTATGTACATGGGTTCACTCACTATTCATAGAGTATAGCCTGTGTTTTGAAAAGTTTGGCTAAACCTTTTCCTCTTTTTCTGTAATTTTTGTTCTCTATTGTGTATGTGCCTTTTCTTGAGCCAGACAACTTCGTGGGAAGCTCAAATTAAACAGCATAAAATTCACATTAAAAGTCACCATTTCCCAATAAATTGCACCCTGCCACGTGTTAATTGGTTTCAGAATTTCAGCACCAGTTATTTAAGTTGCAAAAACACTAGCCCATCCTGACTTGCATTAGTAAGGACGGTGCTGTGTGTGTGTGTTTACATTTCCTTTTTTTTTTTTTTTAAAGATTTTATTTATTTTTAGAGAGGGAAGGGAGGGAGAAAGAGAGAGAGAGAGAAACATCAATGTGTGGTTGCTGGGGGTCATGGCCTGCAACCCACGCATGTAGCCTGACTGGGAATCGAACCTGCAACACTTTGGTTCGCAGCCCGTGCTCAATCCACTGAGCTACGCCAGCCAGGGCTACATTTCCTTTTAAAAAGGAAATCAATGTACTTTTCTCTAATTCATTCCCCTGATGTGTTGGGGGCTTTAAAGATAGGGCAGTTGTCTGGCTGGGGCTGTTCTTCTGGGTCCATCAGTATGCAGGTTGCTCTTCTCTCCTGTGACCACTTTTCTCTTCCCACTAGCTTCTGAGCAAGGTCCAAGCCAAGAGACCTCCCCCTGCCATGGATGATCTGGATGTAAGTAAAGCCTGCCTCTCAACCCTTCTGTCTCCCTTTTGCCCTTAAAAATAAGATACTAGAAAGCTCCTGTCTCTGTTCCTAGCACACAGTAATTCTTAGTGCATGTTAGCCAAATTTGAACTTGACACAGGAGGTTGAGTGTTCTTCAGGCTTCAAAACCCCAGCAAGACCCTCCTCACTTCCATCCCTCTCTCTGCTTCTCCATCCCGGGACAGATCTGGCCCCGTTGGCTACCTTTACAGCTGTGAAGAGCAGTAGCATGAATTGAAATCCCGAAACTAAATGATACATGACACAATACTATTCATTGAGCCCTAGTGATTTACTTCATTTTCCAAAGTTTAAATCCTGTGTTAGCCTCCCAAGAAGTTATGTGAGTCAGAACATCACAAAAGAAAATGGAGAGCAGAGGGGAGTGAGCAGTGTTGACGAACACAAATGTTCACTCTTTGCACACTCTACAGGTGCTTTTTTGTCTTTTTCTTTTTTTCCCAGGATGATTCTGACAGTGCCGATGCAACAAGTAATTAAATTCTGCGCAGCAGAGCTGGGGAGGATGTTGCGGCCATCTTCCAGTCATTCTGACAAGCTGGAGCCTGGGCCTTGGTCCAGCTCTTTGGCTGTGCACCAGGGTCCTCTGGGATCTCAGATCTTTCCTAGAAGCTCTTCATTAAGGGTCCTCCTATTTATTTTCCCTAGGCACTTGACTATGGCTGCTGTATCTGATGGCAGAATAGCAAAGGAGTAGACTGGTGGCACTTCTGACTTCCTACCCATTGGCTGTGATCTCTGTGATCACTCAGCAGGGCTCTCTTGAGTATGTGAGCGTGTTCATGTACGTGGTAGAGCAGAAGCCAAAGGGGCAGCAGATGGTTTATGATAAATCCCTAGGAACTGGTCTGTTTCTTTCCTGCTTGTACTTCTACCTCCTGGGGGCAAGCCTCTTCTCCCTCTGCAGTTCCTCTCTAAGGGAGGGGTGGGTGTCAGAGATCCTGGCCCTCACTGTTGAGACTGGAAGAAAGATGGTGGAGGCAGGCTGTAACCAAGGGGTGGGGGTGGGGGGTGGGGACTTCCTGTTGCACAGATCTATGCTCTGGTTTCTCAGCAGAAACCAGCTTTTCACTATAAGGCTTATACCACCGCCACCCCTAGAACCAGCCAGAAATGCACCTCAGCTTCCTGCATACTCTAGAAATCTCTTTATGTTTTTATTTACTTTATTTACTCTTTAGAGAGAGGAGATGGGAGGGAGAAAGAGAGGGAGAGAAACAGTGTGTGAGAGAAACATTGATGGTTGCCCCTCACATGCCCTGGCACCTGGCCCACGACCCAGGCACGTGCCCTGACCAGGAATCAAACCTGTGACCTTTCTGTTCGCAGTCCAGTACTCAACCCACTGAGCCACACCAGCCAGAAATCTTCATACTTTTAAGGCTGACATTAGTTCTTAAACATGAAATAAAGCTGCTAATGTACAGTTGTATTTGTATTATATTGTACAATTTACTATTTAGTATCATTAAAATTTTTGAATTTCATATCAACTGTTTAACATAATTAGGTCTTTTCTTTATAGGTGATCAAAGAGGTCACAGTAAGTGGCAAAGTTGGGACTTGAATTTGTACAGCACATCCCCCATCTGCGATGCTGAAAACTGAAAAGTTCTGAAAACTGACCAAGAAAAGACACCAAACTTATTTGGCAGCAAAACATGACCTAAAATTATGCAAGGCTATTTATAGTCTGTTTATTCCATTTAGTGTATTCCTCAGCATAAATATCAATGAGTTTGATTACATGATTTTGCTCCAGAGTTCCAAATGGAGTGTCAGGTACACATGGAGTGTGCTCTCTCCATTACCACCTAAAAATTCTAAATTCTGAAAAATTCTAGAATCTGAAACATCTTTAGGCTTTTTATTAGTTGGTTTGAAAGAGCAGAAAGTTGATTTTAACTTTTAAATGGTTTAAAGTTTTGACGTATTGATTGCAGCTTGTTAACTTCTTTATCTACACTGTCCAGTTAGATAGCACTAGTCACACGTTGTACTTGAAATGTGGCCAGTTTGAACTGAGATGTGAGTGTAAAATACACACCCGGTTTTGAAAAATTTGTATGGGGAAAAAAACATTTTATATACCTACTACATGATGAAAACTCTTCTGGATACGTCGAGTTAAATAAAATATATTATTAACAAATGTGGCTTGCGTTACATTTCTATTAGGCACGCTGCCTCATATCCAAGCCAGTACTATCACCATCTCTACCTAGCACACATCCCTGGAGCCCAACGGGCTAAACTCAATGCCTCGCCAAGTTCAGGACGCAGTTTTGTCCTCTGGTCATTTCCATAGTCCTGCAACAGTGACTAAACAGCCCGGAATGTGTGCAAGTCGCGTTCTCAATACATTTGTCCCAAACACACTTCATTTCTTGTGCTCTAGCTTCTGCGCAGAGACGCGTCCGCAATGAGGATTGTCCCCCTTCGGCCTCCGTCCGCCCCCTGGCGTTACGGTGCGCACCGTCCTGCGTCGGTGCGCACCGTCCTGCGTCGCGGGAGAAAACAGCGATGGCGTTCCGGTGTCAGCGGGACAGCTACGCCCGGGAGGTGCGGCTGGCTTGGCGAGGAACCTGATGCCGCTGAGCAGATGGGGAGGTGCGGGAGGAGGGGCGGTGCGGAGGGACAGCCCAGCTAGATCCAGTCCCCGGGTACCGAGGGGTGGCGTCGGGGCTTATGCTCTCATCTCTCTGTTCAGTTCACCACCACCGTGGTGTCCTGCAGTCCCGCGGAGCTGCAAACCGAAGGAAGCAATGGCAAGAAGGAAGTGCTGAGCGGTTTTCAGGTGGTGCTAGAAGACACGCTGCTTTTCCCCGAGGGCGGGGGACAGGTAAGGGGCGCCCCCCCCCCACCCCGTGAAGTCCCTAATTCCTTTCTGTGCAGGTGGAAAACGGTCTCCTGCCCCTCCGTCCCCCAGCCGTAATGAACACGAAGGAAGTTCAATTCACTTCATTTGCCCATTCGGCAGACATTTATCAACAAATTCTTACCTAGCCATAACACATTCGGGTACTGTTCCAGGCTCTAAGGATAAAGACTTAACAAAACAGTGCCTCCACATACACAGAATACTAGTATTTACTGGGGAGGGCAGACAAAACTGTTAATAGATAAGTGCTATAAATAAAATTAAAGCCTGCGGGGAAAGAGAGTGATAAGATATTCTCTTAGGTAGGAGGCAAGTTATTTCAGTAGAGACCTAAGAGAAGTGAGGATGTAAAGCCATTGTAAATGTCTGGTGGTGCCGCTGGGGGAGGGGTAAGTATTCCAGGTAGCAGGAGTAACAAGTGCAAAGGCCCTGAGGTAGGAATTAGCTTGGCGTTTGACAAGAACTCAAAATGGTTCCCATGAGCAAGCATGACAGAGGGCAGACTTACCAGAGCTGTGACGGGGTAGCAGCAGGGTCCAGTGTGAACATGGGAAAGGCGGATAGTAACACCGAAGGAGGGCATTATGGGAGAGGCTTTTCCAGCTGAGATACCTGCACAGACAAAGGCAGGGAAGCCTGCAAGAACCTGACGAGTCTAGGTAACTGCAAATAGTGAGATACGGTCCGAGTATCCGGTGCGTGTGGACTGATGACAGGCTGGAGATGACCTTGGGATGGTAAGGGAGGCCAGTGCAGAGGTCCCTGAAGGATGTGTTGAGGCGTGTGGAGTTCATCCAGGAAGCCATGGTGAGCCATGGAGGTACTTAGGCAAAGGAATGACATGAGAGAACATGTTCAGGAAACTTGACAGTGACAAAGTCCGTTTCCTATCAGTATCATCATTATTACAAGGATTTTCCCAACACGGAGGTCGTCGGACCTGCTGAAGAAAATTTGTGACCTCAGGCAAACACAGAACATCACATTTTATATGTCACTTCTTTTAGGAAGTCTTCCTTGATTTTTTTAAGACTGTTAGGTTTCTTTGAGCTCCTAGAACAATGTACTTGCCCATGTTACGGCATGTGGTAGATCATATTGCAGTTACTTGTTCGCATGTCCGGTCTTTGTTCGTCTCCAGACTCTCAAGTTCCTTGAGGGATCAGGTCTCGTTTACACTGTATTTTTAGGCTGGTGCAGTGTCTTGTAAGCAGTTGGCATTTGATGTTTTTTAAAATGAGTGAATATTTTAAGTTTATTTTTATTTTAATCCCCACCGGAGGATATGTTTTATTAATTTTTAGAGAGTGAGGAAGGGAGAGAGAGAAAGAGAGAAAACATCAGTTGGTTGCCTCCTGTAACCTAGGCATGTGCCCTAACCAGGAATTGAACCCGCAACCTTTTGGTGTGTGGGATGACCCTCCAACCAACTGAGCCACCTGGCCAGGGATGGCTGAATACTTTTGAATCTAGTTCTAGTAGCAGTGCAGAGGATGGAGTGGAGGGAAAGAGGAAAGTGTGGATCATTTTAGATGTTATTGATAGATAAGGATCTAAACTAAGGGAATGAGAGTGAGGATTAAGGTTCTTTGGGTTTTACTGAAATCTTCATGGTTGTAGTTACAATCTCTGTTTTAATCCTGGTACTCTGTTCTGTAGAACAGAATATACAGGTGTTCAGAGGGAAGAGGACGAGACAGTTCCCTCATGGAACCAATTGGACCACCTCATTTGGCATTCCGTAGGGAATCTCAGATTCTGGGTGTGTTTCTCACACACTTCCCAGGGTCTTTGTATCCAGGAGTGAGGGTGAGCCCTGCCCTCCCCCACTGATTATCCTTACTTCGTTTCCTCAGCCCGATGACCGTGGCACAATCAATGACGTCTCTGTGCTGAGGGTGACCCGCCGGGGGGCCCAGGCTGATCATTTCACGCAGACACCCCTGCCCCCTGGGACTGAGGTCCGAGTCCGGGTGGACTGGGGGCGGAGGTTTGACCACATGCAGCAGCACTCAGGTAGGCGCGGCGAGCGTGGAGGGGCAGGTGCCGTGTGTGGGGGGCACCGCGATGATGGAGGTGTGGTTTGCGTTCTCCGGGAGTTAGCCTTTTGGGAAAGACAGACATTCAGAATCTGCTCTGATGGAGGCAGGGCACGGTGGATGTTAGAAGAGCAATATGAGCAATTAAAGTAAAAGTATTCGAATAACTGCTGTGTGAGTGTTACTAACTTCCCACTCGGTATCTTTATCTGGATGTTTCACAGGCTTCTTAAATTCAAAATGTCCAAAAAATGGAATTAAAAAGTCGCCCAGCCTTGACCAGTGAGTGCTTCCACACTCACCCAGAACGGGGATCGTATGTGTCCGGACCAGGGCTGCCCATGCCCGGACCAGGGATGAACTTGCCACTCAGGCATGTGACCTTGACCAGCGTGGCCCAGTTGGGCATTGTTTCTGGAGGCAAGAGGCTGCTGGTTTCACTCCCAGTCAGGGCACATGCCTGGGCTGTGGGTTTGTTCCCTGCTCAGGGCACATGTGAAAAGCAACCGATCTCTCTCTCTCTCTCACATTGATGTTTCTCTCTTTCTCCCTGCCATCCCCTCTCTCTAAAAATAAGTAAATCTTAAAAAAAAAAAATGCCGCCCACTCCCCCAGACCAGATCTTCCGATAGCATTCTCTGTGTCTGGAGTACAGCATTAGCATCCACCCGGTTGCCAGGATCCTGGAAGTTAGTGCAGACACCTCTGTGGGGATGGCAGTGGGTCACCGAGGTCTGCCAGTTTCTTTTCTGAACACGTCTCTGTTCCTTCCCACTGTCAGTGTGACCGCCTTAGTCCTGGCGCTCACGGTGTCTCCCCAGACCCCTGTGACGGCCTCGCGGCCGGTCTCCCCACGTGCGGTCTTGCTTCTTTGCAGCCTGTTCTTCACGAAGGAGCCAGAACAGTCTTTTCAAAGTTGAAATCTGGCACTGGCTGGTGCGGCTCAGTGGATTGAGCACGGGCTGCAAACCAAAGCATCGCAGGTTCGATTCCCAGTCAGGGCACATGCCTGGGTTGCAGGTCACAGCCCCCAGCAACTGCACATTGATGTTTTTCTCTCTCTCTTTCTCCCTCCCTTCCCTCTCTAAAAATAAATTAATAAAATCTTAAAAAAATTAAAAAAAAGACATAAAAAAAAAGTTGAAATCTGGCTCTGACTGGTGCGGCTCAGTGGTAGGAGTGTTGTCCCATAACCCAGAGGTTGCAGGTCCGGTTCCGGGTCAGGGCACATGCCTGGGTTGCAGGTTCGTCCCTGGTCCTGGCGCGGATCCCCCTTCTGGGTGAGTGTGGAGGCATCTGATCGATGCTTCTCTCACATCGATGTTTCTTTCTCTCCCTTCTCCCCCTCTCTCTAAAAAGGCAAATTAAAAAAAAAAGTCCCCGGGTGAGGCTTAAAATAAAAATTAAAATCTGATCATGTTGCTCTTCTACTTAAAGCTTTTCAAAGGCTCCTGTTGCTCGTGGTGACGCTAGATGTTCATGGCCCCCAAGTCCTGCCTGTCTGCTGCCCCGGCCTCAGCTGGTGCCCCTCCCCATTGCTCCCTGCCTCCTGGCCATGCCGGCCTTCCTCTCGATTCCTTGAACACATCCTGGTTCTTTCCTCCTCCAAGGCCTTTGGCTGTGTTAGTCCTATTGCCTTCCTGGTTAATTCCTTCTCTTCCTCCTCCTCCTCCCTGTCATCAGTCAGGGATAACGCTGTGTCTCTCCTGTTAAGCCTTGTGCCTTGCCTGTGGCAGGCACTGGATAAATATTTATCAAGTGAATGTGGCACATTCAGCCTTCAGCTCGGATCCTGCCTCTGATAAGCCACATTGCTCTGGCAGGTTGCTTGGCATGTCTAGGCCTCAGTGTCCTCATTGTGGAATGGCATCATAAAGCCTCCTGCAGAGGTCTCGTGGGGATTTTCAGTGGAGCGTTTCAAGGAGCTCACCCGTTGCGCGGCAGTCTGCCACAGGGAGAGCGTCCGCGGTGCTGCTGTGGGGACGTGTGTCTGTCTGGGCCCCTCACTCTCTGTCCCTTGTTCTCTCTGCTCAGCGCAGCATCTCATCACAGCGGTCGCTGACCATCTGTTCGGGCTGAAGACAACGTCATGGTGAGTGGGAGGCTGAGGGCTGACCGTGGGGTGTGCCCCCGACTACTGGCTCCTTCCCCAGTAATGGGCCCCCGGGGGTGGGCGGGGCGGGGCAAGAAAGAGCAGT